CACATTCTTTTCTCTTCCATATATCTATATCTGTATGTATAATGTTAGTCAGTGCCGTCCAATCGACTTTTACACAAAAAAAGACGGATTAACATAAGTACTTTGTACTTGTTTTTGAATTCTGTATGTGCAGTAAATTATGTTTGTATTATTGGAATATTATACCGATGATAGAATAAAGTTTTAACTAATATAGATCATTAACCCTTTCACCACTGTAGACCATAATGGACTCAACCAAAGCAATGCATGGTAGGTTTACTGAAGTTACATAGGGGTGAAAGGGTTAAGGATATATCGACTGCAACCTAAATGCGTTACCAGAGGTCATTAAGCAAAGGGTACAGTTAACAATTTTAAAGGTTCACTTAACTGTATGTGTGTTAAGTTCACCGTTCTCAGTATAGTTACTGGACCAAACACTGCTAGAGGACGACATGAATATATTAATGAGTTGCACAAATGAAAATATAAGTATGGGGAAATGTAGGCGGACGACACCGCTCCTCGAAATAAGCGAAAATTACCCAAACGCTTAAATTTCCTTGTTTACAGTAACTCAAATTATTCCTTTTTATTGTGCGGGGTACTGTTCATAACGGGTTTAGTTCTATTTGTAAAGTTATTTACTGCTGTAATAAAATTGTGTTTTTGATTGAACTACGCACGTTTATTTTTAATCTGTAAATTTGATATGTTTTTAATATATTGTAATTCATGAATGGATATATAAACTGTATAAAATTAATGAAAAAATGAATGAATCGGAACATTATAAACAAGCATTTCTAAATCATTTTCGTAATCAAATAAAATTAATTCTAGTTAAATTTTCTAATTACATAAGGTTCGTGTATGATACTGAAAGACGAGAAATCCAGCATGATCGACCTGCCTATGTTGACCGCTCTACAGACCGGCCGAGCCGTGATCATCGATAGCATGACTGACCGCCAACTGACAGAAACATACTATATGATACAGGAAGCTGCAAAGAATTGCGAGGGGTACGGAATGGACGAATATGAAACCGAAAAAGACTTCCGAGGGAAAATTGATGGCAGTCACTGCTTTGTAATCATGTGTAAAGAAAGAGGTGAAATGATTGCCGCAATTATTATTGCAGCTAGCAAATTCTACCGGGGTCCGTCAGAAGTTGCCGACCCTTTAGCGATCGTAAGAAGTTCCGAACGTCAACAAAGTCTAGGGGAATTTACCATGCGTACAGCCATCGACTTCTCTCGCAGGCTCGGGTACATGGGCATGTACGTGGATACCTTCACAAATAATGTTGCCGCTAGGAAAATCATTGAGAAGATCGAAGGATTCCGCCATGTTGGATTCCTTCCACTCGCGGGACGACTCGGCAAGGAGAGGTGATCGGTTCTCTTCTCTACTTCATGGACCTGAACGTGAACCTTGTTAACCAAACGTTATCTACATGCATACGCCTAGCATGAACAAGTCAAGGCTGATCACATGATCATTTAGAATGACATCCTCGAAACTCCAGGGGTCATGCTCACTTACGTTCTATGACTCCTGGAATATGTCATAGCAAAATTGAAGGCTCAGTGTGGGCTACATTTGTGGATGAGACAAGAAAAACTAGTTTGATCCTTCCATGTATATAAAAAACGACGCAGTCGCTTAACGGTTATCTTGACTGACTTTGAAGTCGGTTGTCTCTCCTGTAATCTTCAAAGGGCATATGTAAGTTTGGCGATTGATCAGGTTTCCAATCAGACAGCTAGCCGCGTGTATTTAATTTTGCTATTTTGCAGAAAGTATAAGAGAGCGACCCCCGAAGTATGTAGGATATTAGAATTAAGACAAAGGTTGTTTTTTGGTCCCCTCCTAATTTATAGGGCTTATTGTAATACCAAGGTTTTAAGTGTTTATATCACCACTCGATTTAAAAACAAATATCCCCAATAATGATTTGGTTCTATTTTGTTTAATGCCCCATTAACGGCTAAGGTCATTTAAGGATGTGCCAAAATTATGGTGCATGTGTTAGATTTTCAATTTAAACGAAGCGACAATATCCATTAAAATGTGCGATTTAACTTCATCGATTAAATAGCAATCAGAAGTCTATCCTCATGTTTTGTTTTATTGCGTTGTGTTTCCACTGTTTACAAACTATGCTCATGATAGAAAGTGCTTACATGTCACGAATTTGAAATATCTTAACTTAATTTCAATATACGGCAACAACAAGACATAAAGAAGGTTAAAATGAAATTACTCTGCGACACTTGTACCATTAAGATAGAATGTATTTACGCGGTGTAAAACGATGTATATTTCAGAGTGTCGTTGTCCTCTTCCATGAACGAAGACAATCTCTGGCATGACTGATAACTAAGCAAGATGCTGGTGTTTATTTCATCAGCTGCAATACAATAACAACCTGCAATCAGGCAAATAAAGCGTCCTATTCATCTGCCGGTATGATCAGAACATTTGAGGTCTACTTCAGTAAACAAATGCACTACCGGTAGTGCAACACTGCCATTGAAACAAAATCATTCATTTAAGGAGACCTGTCCCATTACAGGTACGTGTAGCTTAATCGCTTTCAGGCGATGCCATAACAATCTGAAGTCCAATGTTCGAATCCCGGTCTGATCCAGCAGTTTGGTTTAATTTTGTTAAACGTCCTATCAACCATGTCTGTAATGTATGTGTGCTTGCGTGAGTGTATGCAGGAGACATGGTATGCTGGTGTGCTTGCCTCTTTACCCTTAAATGCTGAACGTTAAGCAGGGAATAACAACTACCAATTTAAGGACTTTGGCATGTCCCGGCATGGAGACAGAACCCATTGCCTTTCTCACCTGGACGAACGCTCAACATTCAAACCAAAAGTGAGGTATTGCCAAGCAAGGCGCTATGAAATAAAAGGTAGTTAGAAGTAGAAAGAAAGATAAAGATCCCAAATATAGCAATGGGCGCAGCAGATTTATTTTGGTCGCTTTTGTGTCCCTAACTAGAGGACACCAAAGCAAATCCCCAATTCTGCAAGGGTTCCCACATTAGTCGCCTCATCAGATACAATGCAGTGGGTAACAGCAGGTGTATTCTTTTCTCGATCCTCCACCTCCAGCCCAGCAGAATAATCAAAGCTATAACCATTCCCGAAAAATAAGGTTCATTTTTGGCAGAGGTACAATGTAAGGGGATCCTTAAATTGTTAAAATACTTAATTTACCCATTTGCAAGTGAGATTAGATTTTGTTTCGCGATAGCATAGATCCTGTTTCTAGATGAACAAATATATAATAACCAAGTCACCCTGCAAGATCCAAAAATAGAAGCAACTGAGACATAACTAATTAATGGTTAAACGTTATACCGGTAAATAATGCTAAAACTTTGGCAATGTACCTTCACTGTAAAGTTAACTTGACCTGTAGGTGAAATACAAAGCTATATTTTGTGTACAGAACAAACCGCATTATCAACTTCAGTAGATATCCGACAAGACGATGGAAGCCGTTATATGTCGTAAGCAGATGCAATGCAATGCAGACAATAATTAAGAGTAAAACTTCCGTAACAGAGGATATACCTTACTTGAAACAGACCATTACTTTTCAATTGAGGTCAACAATTTTTTTTAACGAACTTCTTTTCAAAAGATAATGTTATGAACTTAAACTCTGTTCTTTATAAATTTAACTGGGAAAAAACTAGCGAATTGGCTTGTCAAATGTCGAATTCAAACCAATTTTATGCAAATTGTAAAAGATACATTTTTCATATTGGAAAATCATATAAATAAACTTTACATAGGAAAATGTCTCATGACCTATATAGATATAGATACCCGTTGCCCAAGGTATAAAATGAAGTGTTGAAGTTGGTCCGGTAAATATACTATTTCCAACATGGAATTGTAGCATTAGGTGTATTTGTGGCGGCGTATGTATCCCTTATGTTAAATTGATACGGGTAAACTGGCGATTTCTTAAGTATCTCATCCAAGCAATTATGTCCGTCAAGAGGCTTTCTGAGTTGCTGATATGATATGCAGGCATTATAGCTTTGCTTCATAATCGTTTTGGAGATAGAATAAGTTATAATCTCATAAACTAATTTGAAATACACTTTGCTTGGACCAGGCGACGACCACAGAGGACCATATCTGATGAGGCGATGACTATGACAACACAACTTTCATTTTAATAAGTCTAGATCCAGCAGAGGTTTCACCAGGTACTATGATAATAATAATTTGGCCCCGAGATAATGCCTAAAATTAAGTTTTGACTTAACCAATCGCAAATAACGCTACAAAAGTGACGTAATACGTAATTGGCTTAGCAAAGACTTAAGTCTGAGATTGTTTCATAATCCCTGGGCCTGGACGTTTGAAAAGTATGCCGAGGTCAATGACATCAAAGACGGCAGACGAGAACTCTTAACTGAGGACATGTTGAAGTCATTGAGTACTTGTAGGAGGGTCGAGTCAAATGCAAATGACTGATTACTAGCATCAACCTTCTTATAAAAATCAGAATTGAATTTTTAAATCAGCCAAAGACCTGTTTGCTCATAATTTGATTAGTCAAAGGAATCAGAACTCTAACACGAGGTTTTAAGAGACATACAGTAAGTTGATTTAGCTCAGACGTTTGTGATCACGGTGCAAACTGTGGAAATGTTTTGTAAATTAATTTGTTGTCAACATTTATTACAACGTTACCTTTGTTCGACAAAAAGTTCGAAACAACAATGAATCATTAGGATAACATGTTATTCATTTTAATATTTGGGAAAATTTTATCGACGTTAAAGCGTTTTTTGACTGAGGTTAAATACTTGTGGACGAAGCTACAATTTCAAGCAAATTTGAGTCTGCCTTCTTCATTATGCTCACCATGGCGTCTTTTTGTCATGTTACTGCCCTGACTCTCATTTTGAGGACGTGACATTACCTGGATTTCACCTAGATTTACAGGATATGTGTCGTCGATGAAGCAGCAGACCCTTTAACTTTTGGAACACCTGGTCTTATGGAGATCTCCTTATGCAAGCTAGGGTTTTTGTGTTAATGATTTCTTTGTTAATTTTTTGCTCTAGTTGAGTTCTAATCACGATTTTGTTAATACTTCGTTATATGATTATCGTAAAATGTGTGATCAAACAGGTCATACATCAAAATTAAAACGCATACCAATTATCAATATATCTGAAGATCATATCTTTTCAATAAAGATATAAATGAGATAAATTGTTTTAAGCAAAGAAATGCTCGTTATATTTGTCTCCGAGATCACATGAATACTATACTGAAATGCAACGTGCATAAATATAGTTGCTCACACACATACTGTACATTTCAATATTTTAGCGGTAGTCCTATTTTAGCGCTTTTCGTGGATTCATTATTTTCCTAAATTATGAATGCGCCAATTTAAGTTCTCTATGACAAATGTACTGGGTGCGCCAATTCTTCATGTAAGCATTCAATATGTCAGCCTAGATATGGAAAACAATCATAAAGGAGACACGGTAGTTTAGTGCTGGGACGCCGGGCTCGTGACAGAAGGGTTGCGGGTTCGAGTCACGGCACGGCACTGTGTTGTATCTTTGAGCAAGATACTTCAACCCGCTTGTTCCAGTCTATTCAGCTGTAAATGAGTACACGGATGGGTAGTGCTACAGAATTGGCCCTATAAACACGGATAATAATTTGTGAACCGCTTTGAGACGACCTACGAATTAGGTTGTGATAAAGCGATATATACGAACCTCTGATTATTATTATTGCTTAAAAAGATCCAAGAATAAGTTTGCTATTGTTTACAATCGGGGGAGGGAGTATTCTATCAGTCTTTATTATTGCTTTCGGTGCTATTACGCAAGTAATAATGACAGGTTATATTTGCATAAACGACATTTCTTTAGCTCGTCGGAATTAACTTTGACATATTGTTTCCTTTAATACTAATGAGATATGGATCGTGTCTGTCAATTCCAAGACAATAGAATAGATTTGATATTTCCGAAACGTGACACAATTACCCTCCAGAGTAATAAAGGCTCGTAATTCGATGCTCACGACGTAATAACATGCCAACTATACTCGATTTGTTTTAATATTGAAAGCGATTTTAAATTAGATATTTTAGGATCCGGATCAGTAATAAAGCAAATGTTTTTAATTGAATTTGGTTAAATTGTATTTGTTGACGTCAGGAGAACAGACGGTATCCCTTGTAATACGACGGTCTGTTAGATGTTTTTCCTTTTTTAGTTTTTAGTTTGTTTACAAATTCGAACCACACAGTAAAGCCAAACCTGGAGGTATACTCAGAATTTTAATTCGGGGGTTTAACCATTTTAACAAAATTCTCTAAATGAGTTTCTCAGATAATACTAGTATATCAAAAGCATTACGCAATTAGGGTGTGTACTATAAATATAGATAAAACAATTGTGTTTTCAATTTAAAAAATAATTCTCGGTGTGTTTGTTATTTTGTGATGAATGTCTGGAACGATATTTTGGCTAGAATTGTGGTAACAGGTTGGATGTTTCGTTCACAATCCAACAATATTCAAAACAAATACTAAGACTATAGACAATGTCTAGTACAGCACATACGCAGCACAGAGTAGATGTTCTCTCTGTGGTGGTTTGCCAATGACCGTGAGCACTTAATTAGGATATCACACAATACCAATCCCTACGGTCGCTGCATTGGCCTCCCGGTCATGTTGTTGTGACCAAGATACTGCAACGAAGTATTTATAGACAAAAAGGCTCCTGAGTATCCTAAAAATAACTCTTCGCATTATCTATTTTATCTGAAATACTGCATACAAATCATTTTCGCGAATAGTAATTTCGTGGATACTTTCTTTCGTGGTTTGGAGCCATTTTGATCGTTTCGGGGTACAAACTTTCATGATTAACCTATATTAGCAAATAGTAGACACGTGTATCATTCAAATTCGTTGTATTTATTTTCATGGTTCAATAGCAACCAAGAAAACCTCGAATGTTTATACACAACCAACATTTCATGTTACACAGTACATCAATGAAAGCCTTCAAATTAAGGTGTTAAATATGA